AACTCCTTCAGCAGCTCATGAAGCAAGAGCACACTCCAAACTCTGTCTCTCTAAGTTTCTCTCTTCTTCTCTCTCTGCACCAACATAGCTCAAGCCTGTATAAAAATGTAACAGTATCCAAAAGTCCCAGACTCAGCCTGCTCCCCGGGCATTGCCCGGCCAATCAGATTCATGTAGCTTATTTTACAGTTGACACACACACACAAACTGATTCCTTGAATGCTCCAACAAAAATTAACTAAGAGAACATTCACACTAAACAAGTATAGCACTAAATTCCACTTCAACTGCCATGGAAACATCCTCAGAAATCTTGGAGTTTGTAGTGTAGTGAGGCATTAGAGCTCTGCAGCTAAGAAGTGTAAATGCCCCTCCATATACTGCCAATCCTAGGCTTCAATGGAATGTTGCCATGCCAGTTAAAGTGCAATATAGCATTAATTATATACCATTAATGGGTTGCAAGTCCTGGTATATTACTAATATTCTAGATTGCACATTGTACATTTTTGGAGGGGGCACTCTTGAAGTGATGACAAGTTTCAAGTAAATACAACACTAGAGAAAGAAAAGTGTGAGTCCAAACTGAAATGAGGCAAATTAACACACTGTATAATTATAAATGAACCAATGCAGGCTCCTTAATATATATACATATATTCTCTGCACTTGAATTGCAACATCAGGAAATTGAAAGTTACGACATAAAAATGTCCCAGTGGCTATTAATCCACAGGCACCTTATAGCATAAGCCATAATGGCTCCTGTTGTGAGTTTTACATATTTAAAAAGTAACATGCTATAAAATCTGTGTATTACACTATGCATGAAAAGAAAGCAATGGTGGTATAAATCCTTAAAGGAAAGTTGTTAATGTGCATGCAGAGTAGCTACATTTTAAACCTCCATATCTCAGCTGCTTTAATTTTTGAACTATGCAAAGACACTAATGGCCTTCATAATTTCATGCCATAAACCAAACTTGTTTTCAAATTATGGGAGAGCAAGAAAACTATTTCAAGCCAAACAAACACTCCCTCTTGTATATACATGCATTCACTGCATAGTATGTACAATGTTTTAGAGAATTACAAATTGCAGCATTCGTTTTACAATTCGAACTTTTTAGTCCACAGCAGGTTGCTGAAAGCCTTGGTTCAATGCTTCAGCTCTCAACTGGAAACACCGAAATGGTTTTGGGAAAAGCTAGGCGTTTCTTTACAAACGTGCTTCACAATCATCGTGCTCGGCTTTAAAATAAACTAACAGGAATCAAAAGTTACTACCTTTGAAAATAAAACAAAACACCAGATTCAGGCTTACTAGTTCATTTCAGACTTTTAATTGACGACAGGTCAATTACTTTGTATTCAAGTGGTATTTTTGGTGCTACATGTGACTGTAATGCTGGTGGGATGATTATCTGCATGTCATTCAGGTCAAGTCCTCATCTCAAAAAGAATTTTGTTTTCAACTCTTAATAGTATGAGATTATCAATTCCTATGACCTCAGCGTCTCACATTAGATTTAACTGGATGAAAGAGGTTTGATTAAAAATAGTGTTACATCTCCCATTACCACACCTATTAGTTCTCTAACTACTCTGAGATATTTTAAACATGACAGGAGAAGACGTTATTAGTAACTACTTCCCTATTATAGAAAAAGAATCAGACTGGTAATAATAGCCTAGTATTCAATAATCCCAGACATATTACGGCGGAGCACAGATGAGAACTGTAGTCTGCAGAATTTCTACTAGACCTCAGATTCTAACCAGCTACAGTTAAGATACTGTTAGCTACAAATAGGCATTTCTGAAAAATACTTTATTTCAAAAGTCATCCAGAAATTGATATCTTAACGAAAGTTGATGGTTGTTCATCATTAACCCTTAGTCCAGCCCAGTAAAATGGTCAGTGTATTCAGATGACTTTTGTTCACCTTTCTCCTGTCAAACATTACTTTCTGTTCTACAGCTAGCTCTACCAGTCTTCCCCCCAATACAGTGGAGCCTCTACTTAAAAGCATCCCAACTTAAGAGTGTTTTTAGTTAAGAGATGTCACTCAGCCCAGATTTCACTATGATATAAGAGCAGCATTTTGCGTTAAGCACTAGCGCCAAAGGGAGCACTAATGCAAGTACGGGGTTTTAGGGCTTCAAGGGGCCAACCCGCTGTGGCCCATGTCTCATGTTCTTGTCCACTTTGGAAAATTGCTGTCTGCTTTGCTCTTGTCTGCTTTGAGAAACTCTGAGTTAGTAGATTTTGTGTGTTTTTTATTCCTGCTTGTTTGGCTTCATTAAGAGAGGGAGAGAGAGCAAGAAGGAAGGAGGCTGGAATGTGTACAATATGAAGAAAAGGATGCTTCTGCCTCTTTGCTTTGTGCTTCTACCATTGTGCCACAACTTTGTGCATCTACTATTGTAAAGTTGATCTTTCTTTTTCTTTTTTGTTCCATGTGAATGTGCAGGTTTTGCCTTGCTGTTATACTGGCTAACACACATTTTGTTGCCTCAAATGTGCTTCCTCACCACAAATTTTTTATTGTTCCATGGGAATGTGCATTTATACATTGTTTATTATTTATAAAGTACATTTTCTTTTTTTCAAAACAAACAAAATGGGGGGTCAGGAGGGCAAAACATATTAAAATTTGCTTTGAAATAGGAGTGTTTTAAGTTAGAGCTCAGTCAAGGAATGAATTAAAACTCTTAAGTCAAGGTATCACTGTACTCTTGATCCATGGCAGACTTGTTAGTTTCAGTGCAAAACCGAACTCAGGAGGACCTAGTGATGCCTAGAGAAGTGCTTTCTCTAGGTCTGCACAGTAAATTTACAGTAAAATTTTGTTGGCAATTCTGCAGAAATTGACCACAGATTTGCACTGGAAACCTAAAGAGAACACTTCTCTAGGCATTCTTAAGTCCTGAGTGCTTCTATAGCATGCTTCGGCCAGAAGCCCAAGAAAATTGTCATTTTTGTGTAAGAAAAACAGGGTTTCAGATTATGTGAAAACAGCATTACACAACGTCTTGTAACACACATAACGCACAAGCCTACTGTACAAATTTGAGCTGATAGTTAAAATGTTATACCATATTTATCTGCACACTTTTTCATATAATTATTATTATTATATTATTATTATAATTTTACTTGTACCCCGCAAGCATCTCCCAAGGGATTCGATGCGGCTTACAACAGGCCGGAGCCCAACACAATACAACAATACAATACATAGCAAATAAAAACAGTTAAAGCAGAAAACAATAGCAATAGCAATACAACAGGACATTATTAAAAACTGAGCCGGCCGGAGTAGGGTACAGGATTAAAAGTGCTGAAGTGTCGGAGGGATATGGGATTAAAATATAAGTGCAGTGTGCAGTGAGGGTGATCTTGACTCAAGAATGGCCAGATGACCTAGTCGGGCCTAACACGAAGCTCATGGGGCTCCTGTAGCTCCCCTGAGTCCTAGCCTGCAATATTCTGAGACTATGTTCCTGGCCCAATTATTCCTTCCTTGTTTACTATCAATGAACACTCTTCAGTCTCCCCTTCAGCATTGCACATGCTGCCCACTAGGCTGAAAAAGCTAAGCATGCACCCTATTATATGTAATGCATATTAGTATAATACCCTCCTGCCAGTTTGCACAAACTTATGTTAGGCCATTTGATTTATTATCAATACCAACACTTTTCAATTTATATAAATCCTTCAAAACACATACACACTGTACAGGCATGTAGCCGGGGGGGCTCGGAGGTCTTCAGCCCCCCCCCCCCCGAAATTCTCATGGTGGTTCGCGAAAAGGCCTTACTGGTGCATTATTTAAACTGTTATGTTTATTCATATCATGATCTGATCACCATACTCAATATATCCCATATGCATGGGGGTATTGGGGTAACGATACAAAAGGTTTGCTAGGCTAGACCCTCTTTCACTCAGACTCAGCCCCCCCCCCGAAACTCAGCCCCCCCGAAACCCCCCCTGAAAAAAATTCAGCCCCCCCCCCCGAAACGAAATCCTGGCTACGGGCCTGACACTGTATCATTTTATATCTGGGGGACCATTTGAGACTCCAGAACATGGGCCTCGAAAAATATTTATAGAAGGAACACATTCGCTTAATTGTTTAAAACCAATTTCCAGAAAGCATAACAAGATCTGACAGCAATGTCAATAGGAATACAATACAGACCTGACAGACTTGCCACAAAACTGTCAAAATGTTCTTGCTAAATGACCACAACATTTGTAAGTGACACTAGTATGCAGGAAAACAGAGTGCTTCCTGAATACATATGTTTGTAACTTCAAAAGTATCTTCTGCACTCGTATGCAAAAGCAATGGTATAGACAGAATACTTGGTATAGACCACAATGGTATAGACACCTTCCCGCCCGAGCTCAGACTTGTGCACTACTCAGACCACTAAAGGTTATTAGATGTTTGCTATGTATTGTATTATGTGTGGTTATTTTAATATTGCTGAAATGTTTTATGAATTTTGTTGTTATATTTTAACAATATGTTGAATCTCGGGCTTGCCTCCATGTAAGCTGCCCCGAGTCTCTTCGGGGAGATGGAGGCGGGGTACAAAAGTAAAGTTATTATAATATTATTATTGTATAGCCTAAAATTTTTGTTCCGGTTCTTTAAAAAAATAGGATTTCATATTTGAGTCAAAGCGATATGATTTTATAGTAACATACAGAACACATCAGACAAAAACCCCTTCTGTTCTTAATAATATTGTTTACCATCACCTTCAATATTCTCACATTTCATAAAGTTCTCCAGGTGACTATGAACACATTTGGGAAACTTAAAAAAACCTGAAACAATTCAAATCCATCAAAGGCAAACATTAGAACTCTAGTGCCTCTGGTTAGTTATCAGAACAGTAGATCAATAGTTCCTGAACTCCACTCCAAGCTTCCTTTTAGAAGAAATTTGTTCTCTAGGCATTGGAAACTTATCACTTACTTTTACTTGTTGGCAATGTTCCGCCAAAGCATTCACTCCTCCTGGAGCTTCGTGTGGAGGAAGTTCTTCCAGGGTCTGTTTTTCTAAAAGTAAATACATATATATTAACAGACCAATAGCAGCAGTAGACAATGCTAAAAGAAGTTCACTGTAAAAATAATTCGCAAGCAAGCCTCTAGCAGGACTTTGATACATAGGTCCCAGACCGATCCAATACAGAGACTTCCAGAATCACCTTTACATCTTAAACCAGAAATACTGCCCCCAACCACCATCTTGCTCCATGTTGGCTGCTTTCAGAAATGTCTGAAAGAATCAATCCCTACAAGCCCTGAAAGTTCATGCTAGGCCTTTAGGCAAAGAGTTCTGCAAGGTGTGAAAGTACAACATGAAATTGCAAACACAATAGCAGACTTAAACAGACTTTCACTATCAAAAAAACAGACCAGATTTGGCCCATTTGAGGTTAGTGACACAACTTAATTAATATGAAAAATCACTTTTTAAAACCTATTTATTTGAAGGTTATTTTGACAAATACAGACTTCACAAGGGTAAATACTTCTTGGTAAGAGTATAGGGTGGTATAGCAAGAAACTCAGAGAAAGCCCATCTCAGATTTTCAAATTTTCTATTACATTATGAACATTGGAGGGAAGGATATTAGAGGCAAAGATGAAGTATTTTGGACACATAATGAGAAGACAGGAAAGCCTAGAGAAGACAATGATGCTGGGGGAAATGAAAGGAAAAAGGAAGAGGGGCAAACCAAGGGCAAGATGGATGGATGGCATCCTTGAAGTGACTGGATTGACCTTGAAGGAGCTGGCCGTGGTGACGGCCGACAGGGAGCTCTGGCGTGAGCTGGTCCATGAAGTCACAAAGAGTCGGAAGCGACTGAACGAATGAACAACAAAACATGGGAAATACGCTGTAAGTGGCTTACAATAAATGAGTAGCAGAATCTTCCAAGCAAAGCAGCAGCATTTTAAATCCCAGAGAGAGAAAAGCTTTGGTTGTAAAAAAAACTATGTTGTTATTAACTGCTGTCAAGTCAACTTTGATTTATGGCAACACCATGGAGTCATCCTATCCTATTCCTGAAAGACCCAGGTCTAATCCAATATGGGCCCTGTGGGGTTTGCCCCCTTAGAAGTCCTGGGACTTCTGATGGGGCAGTCCACACAGCACTCTTGGGTTTTCCGGGCTCAATCTGCCTGGAAAACCTAGAGTGCTGTAACTCCTTCACCAAAAACCTTTTAAAACCCTGGCTGCCATTTCCGTGCTGCTGTGTTCTCCTGGCATGTAGAAATGATGCACCAAGAGAAGAGAGAGAGAAGGGCAATTTTCCTCCTCATTTTTAATTTACAGGCCCTTTTTGGGTGGTTTTCTTTGGTGTTTGGGTGCCCTATTAGAAGGTCTGGCAGGGTATCTAGACCATCCCCCCCAAAAAAGTGGGTCTTGAGGGGAGGTGCGGACTGTAACCTGTACCTATTCGCATTTAAGAAACCAGATTGGGAACAGGTTAAAGCTCTATGTGGAACCGGCCTCAGATCATCCAGTTCAGGGCAGATAAAGAGGATTATCTGCTTTTATAATCTGGATTATATGGCAGTGTAGAAGGGGCCTGAGAGGCATGTTAATGAGGTTAAGCTAGGATCAACACTGACCAAACTTCATGCAAAAGCAAGCAAAGAAATCTGTACCCAAAATGATGTTGTAACTGAATTCATCACCATACCACTCCAGATAGTGGTATGAAGTCCAGAGGTATGAAGAAGTCCTCTCAGGCCCCTTATACACTGCCATATAAAATCCAGATTATCTGCTTTGAACTGGATTATACGGCAGTGTAGACTCAGATAATCCCGTTCAAAGCAGATAATGTGGACTATCTGCTTTGATAATCTGGGTTATATGGCAGTGTAGAAGGGGTCCCAGTTTCAGAGACAGCTGGTGAACTTTGAGTGCGTTCACTGTAGAAATAATGCAGATGACAACACTTGAACAACCGTGACTCAATGCTAGACTTGCACAACCTGCGGCCCTCCAGCATTTGGGCCTCCAATTCCCAGAAGCCCTAGTCAGCTTGTCCAATGGCAAGGAATTATGGGATCTGAAGTTCCAAACACCTGGAGAGCTGCAGGTTGTGCAAGCCTGTTCAATCATATGGAATCATCACAGTTTGGTGGAGAAGCCTCTAGACTTCTCCACCAAAGAATTCAGGTGCCTTACCAAACTACAACCAAACTACAACTCCTGGGATTCCAAAGCATTGAGCCAAGGAAGTTAAAGTGATTACAAACTGCATTAACCCTACAGTGTAGATGCAACCTATGATTGCTGACATAAGCCCCAACTGAGAACACAATTTCATCCCATCACATCCTGCTCCCACGATATCTCTGCAAACACTTTGAGAATGTTAAGTCAATGTGCTGGTACAGCTGTACCAGGAGCTCCAATTCTGTTTGCATTGCATTAAATGTTTGTTTGCAATCCCAGGCTTGGGATTTTGCAGCAGGGTTGCTTCCTGTTATAGTTTGCAATCATAGGGCAAGCCACCTGTCAATTATCGTTAGGTTCCCTGGTCCCGCCCCTTTTTGAGTTTTGGAGGGAATAGGAGCCTTTTTGAGTCAGTTCTCACAGAGAAGCCTTTCGCACAGGACATAAAACAAAGAGCTCCTGTAGAAAGCTTCGTCTTCTACAGCTTGGCCGGGAGACATACAGCTTTACAGCTTGGCCGGATACAGCCTACGGCTTGGCCGGGGAGATATACAGCCTACAGCCTACAGCTTGGCCGGGGAGAAAAGGCCCCACAGCTTGGCTGTGGATTTTGCAGCCTTACAGCTCCTTTGCTGAGGGACTTCAGCCAGCCATCACAGCAACCTGAATTCCTTCTTTTCCCCTGGAAGTCTACAAAGCTCTGCTTGGTAAGGGTCGCTCGCGGAAGCCAGACGCAGTTGGTACTGGGTGCAGGGGCTCCACGCCAACAGAGGCAAGTACAGACTGCCCAGATTAGAAGTTAAGGATTTCCCCATTAGTTAGTTTAACTAATGGGGAAATCCTTAACTTCTAATCTGGGCAGTCTGTACTTGCCTCTGTTGGCGTGGAGCCCCTGCACCCGGCACCAACTGCGTCTGGCTTCCGCGAAGATGCCTGTTCCCAGTGAACAAGATTGCAAGAACCAATAGACTGTTAAGAAAGCTTTAAAGAACCTGTTTGTTTTCATCAGTAAAGAACTTTGTTGGACTTACTTTAAGCCTCTACAGAACTTTGTTTTGGGGAGGTCCAAGGGCCTTTAATCTGAGGCAGCCCAGGCATCCCGTTGGGCACACAGAATTTATGTCCTGTCTACAGTCATATGCACAGGCCCAGCGTGCGACAGCACAGTCAAGCAATGAGAACTAGAAGGTGCCTTTAAAATGATCTTTAAAGTCCAAGAAAGCATTTTGTGGCAAATTGACAGTTAAATGTTTAAACATTTCAGTTGTAAATAAACTTTCCCGATAGCGCCTTTTATCGTCCCTGAAATGGCCTCTTTGGGGGCTGTGCTTGACAGCCAGGATGTGCACAAATCCCATGTGCTAAAGCACTCTGCCATGTCTTGTGCATTAGCACATCCTAGGTGTGTGCTTCCTGGCTGATGAATGCAGAACCTGTCATGCATATTTGGTTATTTACAAACACCACTGACATGCTGCTGACCCTAAACGATATTTGCCAGGTGCCTGATGACACCTAATAATGTCCACTGGCATGCCTGAAAGATTTATAAAATCCGCCAGCCGCCTGAAAACACTGTCAAACCATGGGGAGATTGGGCAGAGATGCCAAACTTTATAGGATTCAGTTGTCATTAAAGGTGAACTTTTTAAAAAAATCACCCACACCTTACCTGGAAAAATGAATTCTTTGCAAACCCACATTGTGATCAAGAGCCAGAAACAATAAATCTGAGGTGTATGCTATGGAACCAGATTTAGTTCAATTGTGCTGGTAGAAGCGAACATCTCAGTCCACTCCTCTCTATGGCAGATCTACTCCCTGAAAGTGCGTCTATCCAATTCGGTGGGATGTTTACGCTGCAATTCACCCCTTGATCCTTCAACTTAATATTTTCAAAGCTATGGCAGAAGAGATGCAGCCTTCGGCCTTCACATTTACTGAAGACAATGCAGGTAGATTGATTTCCCATTGGTGACATGAACACACACAGTCAAACCTAATAGATTATAAGGCCCTGTGACATATTTTTATGTAATCTCTGAGAGCCTGATACAACCACTCTACAAAATGATGCTTCTTAACCTGAAGCCTATGGAGGTTGAAAAACTATTTTTTTTAAATGATAGACTGAATAAATAAATATAATCCAAAAGTTTAAAAAGAATGTCAAAGCCTCAGAAAACATTCACACATGAACAATTGGTGCAGGACTTTGAAAGTATTTGTTAAAGGTCAGGATAAATAATTTCTCTTAACTAAATTAAGTCATCCTTTTTACCAGGTCAAATAGGATGCTTCCAGACTTCCACCATGATCTATGCAAAGCTTGGTGAAGTTTGGACTACATTCCCCACAACTAAATCAACTGGTCATGTTAATTAGAGGATTCTGGTAATGTAGTCCAAAAAAGTTAACATTTCGGACCTCTGAATCTCAACTGGGTGCTAAAAAAATATGGCCCTCATCCCTTGAGTGTAGGCACAATTGTTTTATAAACAGCAGTGTATATTTATACCAACACTGTGTATTTCATACATGGCATTTGATATATCTTTGGTGGACTAACTCGTTGACTCTCTATCCCAGAGCACATCATCCCTAGCATTAGTGCTTTGACACTATGTGCAAGGATTAGGCAAGATTTATAGACAGCAAAATGATTTTTTATGGCTACACGTAAGGGAATTCCTATTATTGTTAAGGCTGTATAAAAATATTGATCCACCGTTGCACTGTAAACATAAAACAGTATCTTCTCAAAGAAAGAAAAAAGCGCAACTAGGTGGTATCTTTAAATTCCTTGATAATATGGGGAAAATGTGCTACTGAGAAAATTAATGCCTCCCTAGCTTTT